CATGCTATGGCACCATTTATCCTCAGCTGTTTGGTTGGAGAATTGGCAAAGCTAACAATAGCAACTGCTCTGTTTTTGAAAATAGAACAACTGTATAGAAATATATCTCAAATTTAACATTGACATATAGCATTATCTTAGAAATGTGACTAGTTTTCAGCACACACACTTAGGAACTTTAATGCAGCTTCCATCGGGGTTCACTCGGCCATACTGGCACGTGGACTACATTATGTTCCACTCTTTCAAATACTTGTTTCAATTAAACACTAACATTGCCACAAGGTAGAATTTGAACTGGAACAGCAAAACACACACAATATAGCCATCGTGCACACAAGTGGATTCAAAGTTTGCTAGGTTTGACTTTGAAACCCTCTGGCTTTAGCAAAGCTATTGTGATGTATGGTGAATGCACAATCTCAAAGAAAGCATGGGTCAAGATGAGTGGTCTAAATAGCTTTTTTGTTTTTGTCATTGCTTGAAAAACTCTGACATCTGTGTCACAGAAGAGCTTCTTCTACCGGTAGTACCCTTGTGAAAAAGAAGTGTGCTTTACTTATTTTGATGTGTTGACTAACATACTAAAGCACATGTAAAGGACTTGATTATTATTTTAACTGTAGTTTAAATTTAAATGTACTCAATTGCAACTTCATTACAAATGTGCAATTATAGATATATTTAAATACCTGACATACAAATTTCGATATATATCACATACTGTGCTTCAGAGGTAAATATTAAATTACTTTTGAAGATCTACTTAATTTCTACCAGAAAAAGCACTCTTAAGTTCAATTAAAAGCATTTAATATAAATGTAACCTATATTTCTTCATATAATTGCAATCAACATCTATCTGTCTGTCTGTCTGTCTGTCTGTCTATCTATCTATCTATCTATCTATCTATCTATCTGTCTGTCTGTCTGTCTGTCTGTCTGCCTGCCTGCCTGCCTGTCTGTCTGTCTGTCTGTCTGCCTGCCTGCCTGCCTGCCTGTCTGTCTGTCTGTCTGTCTGTCTGCCTGCCTGCCTGCCTGCCTGTCTGTCTGTCTGTCTGTCTGTCTGTCTGTCTGTCTGTCTGTCTGTCTATCTATCTATCTATCTATCTATCTATCTATCTATCTATCTATCTATCTATCTATCTATCTGTCTGTCTGTCTGTCTGTCTGTGTATCTGTCTTATATATCTTTCATTTCTATAATACAGTAAGTAGTCTTTTTAAAAGTATGTAACTCTTTTCCGAAAGGGTATAAAGTGATAGTTTACCCAAAATGAATATGATTTACATACCCTCGTGTTGTTCTGAACCGATATGACTGTCTTGTTTCTGCAGAGCACAAAGGAGAAAATTTTGAATAAATAATTTTCCATGTTGTTTCCATGCAACTATAGCTTTTAAGCTTCAAAAGGGATACAAAAGCACCATATTTAAAAAAAAATAAAAGTTAAAACAACTTGCACAGTTATCTTCTGAAGCCATACGCTAGCTTTGTGTGAGAAACAGACCGACATTTCAACAGTTCAATCGCAAAATCTACCCTAGTTCAAAACAAATCGATGAATCAGTCTGAATAATTCATTCGGAATCAGACTGATCCAATTTTCAGTACTTCTATGTTTGTCATACAGGTTTGGAATGACATGATGCAGGGAAAAATGTGACTGAATTTTTATTTCGGTTGAATTATCCCTTTAAGGCAGTGGTTTCAGAAGGAAAATATAATGTAATATTTGAGCAGAAGAGCAGCTTTCCAACTAAATTTCATCCCAGGTAAATGCAACACTCACAGTCTACAGCTAATGAGTCCCATCAGTCAAAGCTGAGTATAACACTCTTTGCTCACGACGAATGATGCAATGATTGCTCTACCAGTTTCAGATGTACCCAGCCACTTAGTGTTAGAAAAACACATTTGAAAATGACGGCATCTATTTTTCACCTTCAGCACGCAGAGAAGCTCAATTGAGATGAATTGCTCTACTTCACAGGTCTGGCACATTTAACAGCTTACCTGAAAGTCCTCGGACATGCGTTAAAACCTTTTGACTTTAGTAGAACAGTGAAACATTGGATGAAACTAAAGGAATCAAATGACCTTGTCACAATCATGCACACAATCATTCAACACAATTGCTTTTAGTCACTGGGTTGGGCTTCAACTGCGGGTGCATAGCTTGTCTGCAGCTTCAACCACTGCAGGTAGATGCTTATTGAGATTTCTTGTAACAAAATTTTGGTTATGGCAGTGCATTTACATATCTACAATTCTAATAATAAGTAAATTCTGATTAATATCAAAATTACACTGTGCATGTGAACATATTGCAGTGGGCATGTCTCAGAGAAAAGTCCTTTCAGACAGAAAAGAGTCTTGTCTCCTTTGACGGCATACTATGTTAGGAGTTTTGATTAAAGTGCTCTAGTTTCTATAGTTCCTCAGAGACCTGCACAGATAAATCAGCTTGGCTCCCTCCCCATAAAGACGAGACCGGAACTGAGTGGGTGAATGGAGAAAATGGGATATCAGTTAGACATAAATAATGTTTCATTGCAATAAACTGCTGAAGTAGCCTGGTAGAAGACTTAATGGTTCGTAATTAACATTCTCCATCCCGTCCCCTGACTCACATCCTACAGTATTTTCAGCGTTTCATAACAAAAGGTCGAAATGGTGATGAATTCCACATTGTTCGTCGTCTTCGTCTGCACTTAAGTCTTGAGGACAGATGCACTTAGAAGTCTTTAAAGAGAGATGCAGAAAAGCAGGTCACCGTCGTTTTATTTCGCCCACTCACTGAAATTTCACCGTAGGTTAAAGCTGACACATCGTTTCAGCTTTGAAGTGTGGTACGTCTGGTCAGTTGAATGTTCACTGAGCTGAATACTTTTTCCTCTGTATAAAGCTAAAAGGTGCTTTTCATCAGTATTTTATAGCTGATGTACAAAAACGCAGGAGATATTTCCGATTTTATAGCTTCATTACAGTGCAGAGCTGAAATAACCACGTCTCCTGTATTTCAGCAGCATCCATAAAGGTGCTTCGGCAACCAGTATTTTCTGTTTGTTGCAGTGAATGTTCATTTTTCTCTGCGGTTATTGCTTATCCAATCTGTTTTGGGCCATAATATGATTAGACAGTCCTATACACTTAGCTAAAATGGGTAAATTGTTTCAAAAGGTCCCCGTCAGCATTTTCTGGCAATATGCAACAATATGGATCCAATATAACAGCAGGTTGACTGAGTTTCACCCTCAAAGTCTGGTTTTAAAAATTAGTCAAAAACGGTAAAGCAGACACGACACATCAGAGCTTATAAGAAGACTATCAGATGGACGACAACTGACGAAAGCTATTGAATAACACAACACATTTCCTTGTAAGCTTAATTAGAATCAAATTACTTTGCCACGCGGAAAAGACAGTAACACGCAGAGACCTTCACCTGCTTATCGGAAACTGTCGTTGGACCGATTGGGCAGGCCTTACAGTAGGCTACGAATTAGCCACCTCGTAAAAATTCGTACGAATTGTCGTGAGATCGGGTTGATTATTCTAGATTCGTTTTTTGGAATTAGAATTCGTACGAATTAGCTTCCTTTTACTCACTCGTATGAATTCGTACGAATTGGTCATGAGATAGCGTTGGAATAATCATCTTATTCTCAAAACGTGATATTTACAGAGATGTTTGCTTGAGCATAATTCATCGCCACAATGATTGCAAATGATTGCTGGCAAAGAACTTATATGGTTAAAGAACATCCCAAACTTTTATACTCAAGGTCAGACATGATTGTGTACCAGGCGAGCATTTCCGAGTGTTATAATGGAAGCAAACAGATCTATTCCCCTTAATGGACACTTACCAGACAGAAAAGCCAAGGGCTCTGGAAACAAAGGTGAAATGCATTTTGCCTGTATGTCGACCCACGACACTCGCAGTCATCCTCAGACATCCGTATGCAGTGATGAGTTGCAGTGATGAGGCTGACAAGAGAGACGGCCAGATCGATACCGTCGAAGAGTGATGGAATGCTGCCGGACACGGGGCTGATGGGAATCAGGAGGTTATGTCGGAGTCATTCCTAAAACAAGGAGGAAATGATCTCTAAGCCTGAGGGAGTCTCTGGGGCCGCACTGCACTGAGACTCTAATATTAGCTGAGGATCTGTAATATGCAGTGAGTAATGAGAGGTCCATAGGAAAGAAAAATCACATCTCTTTAAAATCTCACTTGTTTTTCCTAGACAGGAAAAAAGTGCAAGCAGAGAGAGTTACATAAGTTTTATCCTGACAAAAATGACCCCAGTAATCTCTCATGTGTCTCACTCCCCATCCATAAGAAAACAGTCATTCTGAAAATGTTTTGGCCTCCCATTCATGTGTAAATAGCATTTTAGATCACTGAATGAGGTTTCTGAAAACTTTCGTTTTGAAAAAATAAAAGATTTCTGTTTTCTGTGATTGATGTAAACAGGTTAATTATTTTTAATTGGCAATGGTTGCAAATATTGGGTGTTTTGACAAGCGTTTTTACTGTAAAAAGCTGCCGTTGTGGATACGTTTTTTATTTCCAAACAAGCGAAAACTGTGTTTTCAAAAGTATTAGTATACATGTGGACAAAAACAGTGTTTCAAATTACAAAGTCTCCAATCAAAAGTCAGAGATTTCAATATAAACTTAAATATTTCGCATCAACTATCTATGTTCAAGACCATAATCTAGTCACAATAATTTCATAGCTTTATAGCTTACTGTACTGTATGTGCTGGCAATTTTTTAGCGTGTAAGTAGCTGGAGTTTTGCTTCAAAGATACAAGAATGGATGATTGTTTAAAGCCTGTTAGACAGTCTTGACAATGTGGCATTGCATAATGATTAATTGAGGGGCTCAACAAACACTGATGAATAAAAGATTAAATGGCTCTTTTGGCCACTGATCCATCTATAATCCTTGAAAGCAGTCCATTGAATTGATTAGAGGAGTTGTGCGCCAATTGCTTAACATGGGTTTATATTCTTCTTAGTTATGTTTATACGGTCAATGACAGATTTAAAAACTGAGTTTCGGTGTTTGTTTTGTTGGTTTACACTGGATTAAACCCAATTGTCAACTGATGAAATAATACCACTGCATATTACATCTTCCTTTTCTTAATTCCTGAGTTCGGAAATATGACAAATAAATCAGATTTAAGATATAAACAAAAGAAGCATTACTCTAGATTTTATGAAAACCTTTTAGTAAATATTATTGAACATCTTCACAATTTACAAAACAAAAAATAAAGTTAAAATGAAGTGCTTTGAGCAATGCTTTTCAAAACTTTCAATCAAAATTGTTTTGAAAAGCACTCGAAACGCAAACTGAGGACATCAATCATGTAAGAAAAAATGTAAAGAAATTCTACTTTATTGAACTATCATCAACCACTGACATTTATAAATGTTTTGAAGTCGTATGACAAATCCTCGTTTGCTGAAATCATGGGATTTGGTCAGTTTGATATGGCCTTCAAAGCTTCATAAAGTGTTCAAAGTTTCGTAAAGCAGTGTTTCGAACATGTTTATCGCTATTCGCAACCCATTTAGATTCCATAATCAGATATATTTCTGGGGAAAACTTGATATTTAGGAGAGAAATCCGAGTAAAAATGCATGTAGTGCGAGATTTGAGTTAATCCGGTGCATGGGAATTGGCTGGATTGTGAAAAATAGGTGTTACATACCAGAACTGCAAAATTTCACGAATCCTCTGCAGTTTCACTATGAGCTTCTAAGGGTTTGGAAAACCTGGTAAACAGGATTAACAATTATCCAAGAGAAAACTATTAGGATGAGCAAGTAATATGACAGCCTCTCAGAGATGAACATCCCAATTGAATAATCAAATATCAAATACTTTCTCTATAGTTTCTCTGTGTTACAGCATGTAAATCTTTAACAAGTTTACATAGAGTAAAGCCAGGAGGAAGAGAAACTCCTAGTGGACGTGGATGGCTGACAGTTCAGTGAGATATCGTCTGTGACAGACTCTAATCAACAGTGAGTTTCTTCTACTCGGCACCTCAAACACTCTGTTCTCTGTGCTTGACAAAAAGATAAAACCTGTGTGTGGGAACAGGGCTGATTTTCATAATTTGAGGTTGTTTAAATGACCCAGTGCTGCAATTCAGACACACCAATTTACTTGTCACATCCCTCCTGTAACACCCACTCCCAGAGATCATTTGGACTCCTGCAGTCTGCGATTCAACCGTAGCTGGAGAGTCATTTTCATATGCTGCCATGAGAAATGTAACAATAATTTGACTGCTTTATCACTGAATGTAAATGAGACACGTTTCTTTAAAGGGATAGTTCACCCAAAAATAGAAGAATTCTGTCATTAATTACTCACCCTCGTGTCGTTCTAAACCCGTAAGACTTTCGTTCATCTTCTGAACACAAATGAAGATCTTTTTGAGGAAATCTAAGAGCTTTCTGTCCCTCCATTGACAGCTACGCAACTACCACTTTGATGCTTCAAAAGAGATCGTAAAACTAATCCATATGAATTGAGCGGTTTAGTCCAAATTTTCTGAAGAAACACAATTGCTTTATATGATGAACAGATTGAATTTAGGCTTTTGTGAAGATTTGTGGAAATTATCCTGAGTAACAGAACATGTACATTGTACAGTAAGAATCAGAAACGTTTGTTGGTCACAAGAGCCAATTACACAAGAGCCAATGAGAAAATCCTACTGGGTTTTTGTTGAGGGAAACATGAGTAATGCTAACTTACCGGTTGGCCTACAAAAATACGCCATCACTCTACATTGGAGGCTTGGATGAATTTAAACTTCTCCAACACATCTGTTCGTAATTTTTAAAGTCGACTTGTTTGGTTCAGGTGTGTTTGAACTTCAGGAAAGTAGATCTCCAGGTGCAGCACTCAGCACCCCTGACCTAAAAAAATGCATTAAACTAGTTTGAACACGGCTGCTTAGCAAAGACTTTTAATTAGATGCTCTATATGCTATTAGGTCTATTTGCTGTTATTCTGAATCAGACCCTGAAAATCAGACATTCAGCATCAACGTCCACCAGAAAAATATGACTACAACCACACTGCTGAACAAAAGGTTGTCAGCAAACCTTTGAATCATCACTGCATGGTCAATGACAAGTTGATTTACGCAGTTCCCCAGCAACAGAATCTGGGTTGCTCACAGTCTTTCATTTTCTAATCTGGAAGCTGTCTGAGGTTCTCAGCATGGTTGTTTTAATGCCTGACAAAAACATGCCCCAAGGAACCCTGAGAGGGAAAGGAGAAAAGGGAAAGGAACCTGAACTTAAAATACTTAATGTGCTTGATTCATAAAAGATTGAAATGGTTCTCGTAGCCTAAGGACAATCTATTAAATATAGATGAAAAGCACTGTATGGACAACAATGTCAGCTAGTAAGATGGCAAACAAGCACATCACTTTGAATGCATTGTTTTTTTTTTTTAAATGTGAAAATTAAACTGCGGAGTGTCGTGTGTTGAATTCATTTATATTCGAAAATGGCAATTTGTTACATAACGCTACAAAAGGAATGTCATTCTTCAGTCTAGCACACATTGCATCAGTTTATCAAACATTTCCCACTAACACAAACTAAAGTATACATAGGTGTGTGTCCCATCACTTCTGAAAGACACTTTGCATTCCCCACATAACACACCTAACACCTCCTCCATGTAAACGGAGATGGTTATTCATTTGAGGGACTCTTCAATCTTAGTGGCGTTCGCTCTGATTATGTCAAGCTGAGAGATAAAATGGGATGTTCTCTGTGGCTGAATCAATAAACCTAAAGGAATAGCTCATCATTTACTCAGCCTCATGTTGTCCCAGACCCGTAGGACTTTCTTTCTTCAGTGGAACACAAAAAAAAACTGATGAAAAGAGTGAAGTTTAAAGCTTTTAAGCTTCAAAAAGGGCACAAAAGCACCATAAAAGTCACCTATACAGCTCATGTACTATATATACGTTATCTGAATAGCTTTGTGTGAGGAACAGACCAATGCTAGAACAGCCAAACAATGCTTTGTGTGAGGAACAGACCAATGCTAGAACAGCCAAACAATGCTTTGTTTCCTTTTTGCTTGGGTTGCAGGAAAACGTGTTTTATTTTATTTTCTATCCATGTTTTGATCCCTCTCTTCTCTCACCTTTAGTTCATTCACATCGTGGGATGAACTGCTCTATCATGTAGTCTATATTACAGGTTTGCACAATGGAAAATTGTCTCTGTGCAGATAACGTAGCAAAGCCTGATCCTGGTCCTTTTCTCCCTTGTAATTGCAGTTTATAATTGCATAAATGCTGTCGACCCAGAAAGTGATTTCCAAAAGCTATCTCAAGAACCAAAGGGTTTATTTTGCCACAAAAGCTCAACTCGGCCAAAAATCATACCTACACTCAATACTTTCCTCGGTAAGAGGCTTTTTATTGACAGACTGATTTTCTGCTCCATTTAAGAAAACCAAGATTTGAGTGCATTTCATATACTACATAGAAACGCATTACGATGCCAGACATTCTGGCTTGTCTTGTAACCTGTCGACAATGCAATGCAACAAACTGTAAAGTTTACATCAATGACGATAACTATAACGATAACAATAAAGATGTAGTTCTAAAAATCTTTCTAAATATAGAATAGCAGAGTCCTCATCAACTAACGATAATGGCACAGAGGAACGATATCATTTTTTTTTCAGCTGATGAACGATAAAAACATTGACAGCCAATCAGAATCCTTCCTGCTCTAAAGCGCCAGGGATTACGTCATCACGTTGTAAACGTCACGATTTTTTTTTTTTTTTTTTTATAATAATAATACATTAAAACTAAGATGTCAGACGATTTTGAAGTTGGAGGAGAAAACGGGAGAAAATTTCGCCCTTCCCTGCTTTTTTAACCGGAGTACACAGACAAATAACTTAGATAGATGACGTGACGCGTGACGTTTCCAAGGTGATGACGTAATCCCTGGCGCGTCGCAGACCAGCACAAGATGAACAATTGTGGTTAAAAAGTATATATTTTATTATTGTACTGTACTTTATTTTTTATTCTAAACTGTTTTAATTATTCTTATTTGTTTTGATTATTTTAATTTCTTCTATGTAAAGCACTTTGAATTACCATTGTGTATGAAATGTGCTATATAAATAAACTTGCCTTGCCTTGCCTATAAATGTTTATTTTTTTTAGAAAATGACCGATGGTTTCGCTAGATACGACCCTATTCCTCAGCTGGGAACGTGCAGAGCCATGTGAAGCACTTCATAGCCCTTTGAAACTGCATTGATTTGGACTTTAAAACGTTGGTTGCAATTGAATTCCATTGTGTGGAGAAAACTTTCTTTTCCACTGAAGAAAGAAAGACATGAACATCTTGGATGGCATTGGGGCGAGTAAATTATCAGGAAATTTTCATTTTGAGGTGAACTAATCCTTTAAGTCCAATCCGTATCTCGTTTGGCCGGAAGCTAGTTATTTTACTTTATAAAGTTTTAAATGTGAATATTTTTCTTACACAAACTCATCGCTTTGCTTCATAAGGCCTTTATTAACCCCCGGAGCCGTGCGGAGCACTTTTATAATGGATGGATGCACTTTTTTGAGCTTCATACTAATGGTTGCAATTCACTGCCCTTACAAAGCTCAGAAGCGTTAGGGTGTTTATTAATAAAACTCCGATTGTATTCGTCTGAAAGAGGAAAGTCATATATAGTACTAGTGATGGCTTGAAGGCGAGTAAATTACCAACTGGCATATCATTTTGATTCATTTTTAATTTATTAACAACCCTGTTTTAAATCTCTGAACTACATTATTTCTGGCATTTGCTGTTTTGCTCCCTAGTTGTGCATTAAAGTGACGTCCAATCGGCCATGAACCTCATTCCTAGATTACCTTTTGGTTCTGGGAGCAGCAGAGTCACTGAAAAGCTCGTTCCACCCCTACTTGCTCCTACTTAAGCAGAGCTCGCATACACATCTCCCACACGGTGCCAGACAGGGAGATGTGGGCCGACACTGTTCCTCCGAGTATGTCTGAGAATGACATGCATGGATAGATGCACCTACAGCAGTCATGCTGTAAATGAGATCCACACTATTTATGAGCGTAATGAGCGTGCCGTAGGGCAGAAAAATTAATAGCAACTATATGAATTTCCAGATGAGAGGATATCTACATTACTGTACACTTTTAAAAATGAACCGATTACAGACTATTTGAAGTCATGTATGCCTCACTTAACAGGGAGTTCTTTATCTGGGACTTGCTATGCAATTGGGAATTGGTTTCCTCTTGCAGCCTCACTTCTCTCAAGCATGCATTTAGCTTTCAGATTACCAAAAATTTGCAACAATTCGCAGCGCAAAACGTTTGCTTTTTTGCCTCAGGACCTCCCTGAAGTGCACAGTTTCACATCTTTGCTCATGGGTTCTGAAGGCAGGTTGTTTTCAGCCATCTTTGAGCCTTCAAAAAAAGTTTTCACCACTGAATAAAAAATAAAAAACTTAATTGCGACTTTTTATCTCACAATTCTGACGTTTTTTCTTAGAATTGCGTGATATAAACTATAAACTATGCGTTATAAAGTCAGAATTGCGTGATACATAAAGTCGCAATTATGAGTTATAAAGTCAGAATTGTGAGATATAAACTTGCTCGAATAAAGTAGTCAATAGTTATAAAGACAGAATTCCATGATATAAAGTCAGAATTGCGAGAAAAAAAGTCAGAATTGCAAGTTTATATCTCACAATTCTGATTATTTCTCGCAATTGAGAGTTTTTGTTCTACGGAGCCCCTAAAGGGACATGGTGGTGGGAAAAATTTGGGATGGGAGGAATAAATATTTTTCTAATCTTTTGCGTTCCCTCGCAAAATATTTGCGTTCCCCCGAGAAACTTTGCGTTCCCTCGCAAACCTTTGCGTTCCCTCGCAAAACTTTTGCATTCCCCCGAGAAACTTTGCGTTCCCTCGCAAACCTTTGCGTTCCCATAGCAAAACTTTTGTGTTCCCTCCCAAAACTTTTGTGTTCCCTCGCAAAGATATTTGCATTCCCACACAAAACATTTTCTCCCATCCCAAATTTTTCCAACCACCATGTCCCTTAAGGGGCTCCGCAATATTCCGCAATTGTGAGGGGGGAAAAAAGTCGGAATTGTGAGATAAAAAGTCGCAATTATCTTTTTAATTGTTTTATTCTGTGGCAGAAACAAGCTTCCATACTTCATGGGTGAAACTATCAGACTCTGATACTGGATGATAAAGTTACCGTTTAAAATTCATAGACTACACGGTTGAGTACATAGCGCATTATCCGAATAGTGTATAGTGCATCATTTGGAACACAACTAAAGAGTTGTGACTTGGGCCAGAACACCCTAGCAACATGACAAAAACATTCTAAACGACCTGGCAACCACCCACTGAGTTTTGCACAGCCAAGCACCACTCTATGAAGGTTAGCATCTAGTGTGAGATTTCATCATCCTGAAACCACTCATTGGATACTGAATTATTATTTCTAATGTTTAAATATACATTCTTACCTTTAAGCCTTCAGCACCCCCTGAATGGAGATCTTTAGAGGCCTTATAAATGTATGTAACTCCCAGCTGCTGGCGTGGGTCTGGATTCAGATGTACAGTCTGTGCCTTTCCATCTCATGCTGCCAAGCCATTTGGGACGAATGTGTTTGTTCATGGAATACAAAATATCCTTTTGAATAATGAAGTGCAAAAATGAGAAACAATGTGGGATACAGCATTTGACACATTACCAACACACAAGACCAGAGCTGTTAAAATAGCCAAAGTTAACATTAAATCAAATTGGTCTGCGTTTCTTTCCTAATACATTATGCATGATATATCAGTGCACAATAATTGAGAGTAAAAACGTTGTCTTTAATTTTTCATCAAAATATTTTTTCACCTCTGAAACGACTTTCCTTTCCACTGACATCATCAAGACTGCTTAATTTAATAAAAGAAAATCACATTAGATTGTAAAACGAAAAAAAAGGGTTATGAACACTGTTTAATGTTGACTATAAAAAATGTATGTTTTATGTGTATTATATTAATTTTACTCACTAGGAATAATAAGATTTGGAAAAATGCCATAAGACAAATTTGTATTTTAAAACATTTAAAATATACTTTCCTAATGCTTTTTGTCCCTGCTTATTGTTTGGCCCTGTCAGAGCAGTTCCTTCACGCTGTGAGCAGACTTGTCATTGGCTTATGTGGATGATATTATTTGAAGAGCTCAGAGATTAGCCTGTGTGTGTGTGTGTGTGTGTGTGTGTGTGTGTGTGTGTGTGTGTGTGTGTGTGTGTATGATGAAGTGGCCAGACCGAGGCGCACTCAAAGCCCAGAGGCAGACGTGACTGGCAGGAGGATTTGGACTGAGGATGGAAATGAACCCTCAAGGCAGAACACTTGAGCGAGCTGTCAACCCTGTAAATGAAGAGCTTTTGAGCATTTTAATTTTTCTAGGTTCATGCAAGTACTTCTGGTACCCTGGTACAGTGATGGTACTGCAGTAAATCCCATTCAAATATAACAAAATTAAAGATAAAAAATTAATATACAGGTGAAACTCGAAAAATTTGAATATCGTGCAAAAGTTCATTTATTTCAGTAATACAACTTAAAAGGTGAAACTAATATATTATATAGACTCATTACATGCAAAGTGAGATATTTAAAGCCTTTTATTTGTTATACTTCTGATGATTATGGCTTACAGATATGAAAACCCCAAATTCAAAATTAGAATATTGTGAAAAGGTTTTCATAGCTGTAAGCCATAATCATCAAAATTAAAACAAATAAAGGCTTGGAATATCTCACTTTGCATGTAATGAGTCTATATAATATATTAGTTTCACCTTTTAAGTTGAATTACTGAAATAAATGAACTTTTGCACGATATTCAAATTGTGAAATAAATGTTTTTCTCCAAAACACGTTGGCCACAATTATTGGCACCCTTTTATTAAATACTTTTTGCAATCTCCTTTTGCAAAGATAGGGCCTTAAATTAACAGTCGCCAAGCACAAAATGCAAGTAAAAATTGGTGTTGGCGAGTATATGAAACGGTGTATCTTTGTTCTATTGTATTTATTTGTGCTGTTGCTTGTAATTTGATTGTGCATGTTTTACATTTATATTAGTTAGGCTAGTAGTTTTAGCTGTGGTATCAAAATTGGATTACTGCCTGATTTTGAAAAAAAAAAAAAAAAAACTTTTTATGGCTGGTAAATATATATATATATATATATATATATATATATAATTATTATTATTAAATTACACCCACATTTTTTTTATAAATATCTCAGTACATGACAGCATCCTTTAAAAATATTCAAAAAAAGTGTTCACTTAGAGACTGAATCCATACATACAGTAACTAAAGACTATATTTAAATGCATATCTATATACGGTTTATCTTATCTGAGAAACACAAAATGAGAAAAGGAAAGAGTCTGTTGTAAACTAAAGTAATTGCCTGTCTTCAGCATCTTGGGGTTTTACAACATTGCTGATCAGCCGGACTTGAAGGCACAATCATTCCAGTGTCTGTCTTCTGTTAGTGAGTGAGTGGGTGTAATAAAGAACTGTGAACACTACATACTGCTGTCTTGTTAGCAGAAATTGTCTGTTCCTGTTCCGTCTCCCTGAGTCACATTTTATTCCTTGAATAATTCAGATTTATAAGAGAACATGAGAGGGCAGAACCCGACGCAATGCACTGAACACATCATTTTACCAAATGATTCATGCTAATGCATGTCTCTCTCTCAATCAAAATGATAATTACAATGATTAAGTGAACGTAAATAGATTACCTAACAGCAGAAAATATAAGGAGCAACGTATTCTTTGTCAACTAAAAGAGTTTAGGTAGAATATATATATATACACACACACACACACACACAAACACCGGATATTCCTTTCTTTTGTTCACCCAAACAGCAGTGTATATTACAGAAAACTACAGAGTTAGTTTAGCAGGGGTTTGTGTACGATACAAGGTCATGGCAAAGCGCCTGTTGTTTTCTGGTTTGGAACAGTCTATGTTCCCTCATTTCGAGTCCTGTGTGCAGCAGCTGCCTGTCGTCTATCTCCAGAGAGCCGTGGATCAGAACCAATTCTAGCTAGCAGCAAATACAAGAGCACTTGACCGTTATCTGAACCACACAGGTATTGCCTACAGTGCAGAGCGCTTAAACTGAACACCCACCCCCCGTATTTCAGCACGCCAATTCTGCAGCCCTAACAATCCTGCCAACACGCTCCATTATATGGGGGGAAATAAACATCCGGCCTACGAGTGCCATCTTATGTAAATCCCACAATGTGCTGAGCAGGAATTATAATTGCACCATAAAACCCTTTGCCTGACACCTGGGTCTTTGGTTGGAGGTAATACAAATTATTTAGTTTTAAAGGCACACTATGTAATTTTTCGCCACTAGAGGTTGTTTTTTCAAAACAAATGCGTAGCTTGATGACGCCAAGATTTCGCGGAATCATTTGAGTTGTTTTCTTCACCTCTACAGCCGGAAATCATATTCATGAATGACCGGTAATGTATTAAAGAGAGGAACGAAGCCGCTGGAGTGATTGGTAATAAGAGACAAGCGCGACACACAGCTCGAGAGCAGTGGAGCTTTTATTATGTCCCAGACGCCGCTTCCACTTCTTCAAGGGGTATAACGCAACGCTGTTTTATCATATTAGATACATTTGAGTGTGTTGAAAGATGTTATAATGCTACTCTGTGCGTTCTCTCGGTGGCTACTATATGAGACACTTGTTGCACACTGCAGTGAGCTAGATCGATATTAGGCATGGTAAATAAATATGGTACTCGCGGTAAATCAAGAAAACGAGTTTTAAACGAACAAAAAAAGAC